GATATTTCTGCTTCTCCTGTTGGCAAATTACAATCAAAATTAGCTAACATGCTGCAACATCTCTGCCTTTCCAGCTGAAGAGAGTGAGGAGCAGTGAGCTACTTTGGATGTCTCACATAGCACAAAGCATTGCTCCCTGAAACAACCCTAACTGAAGCTCCTTTGGGATCACCTGGAGCCCCTAACTTTTCATTTCAGATCTTCAATTAATTTTTCCCTCCAATTTTTCATACCAGTGAACAGGGATAAATCTGTGTAAGTCGGGTTGGTTTTGCCAGTGTTTTCTAAGGGTCTTTCATCCCTACCCAAAACCACTTCTGGGCTTTGAGACTGCTCCTGCAGATCCATTTTTGCCCAGTGACCTGGCAATGGATGGTGAACAATATATAACAGTACATAACAACAGTCCTGCTTTGCAGTCAGATCCACATTCCCACACATGAACATCTCTACATCCCATGGCTTATTCACTCAGTCATCACACCTCTGATTAGGTCACCACAAAGAAACAGAGAAGTAGCACAGTAAATTACATGCATGAACACAAGCTACAAACTTCCCTCCTCACGGTCTGCATAGACTAAAGCAGTTCTGAAAAGGAACAGGCATGAGCAGTGTCTTTGATGGGAGCCCTACATAAAACTTGTGTTGCTTTGTTTTGAACCAAAACACACTCTGGACTTTGGACTTTATTTTTGCTAACATTTACTTGATCAAATCCCTTTCCCCACTAAGCTCTGAAGTGTCCATGGAAAGCCTGTATTTAAAAAGCTTATGAATTAGTTATCAGTATGGATTGATGAGTGCTTACATACACAACACCTACATCTTTCACTATAACAAAGCTGCCTGTAACTGTTTTTTATTCTTTACACTGCTTTGTCTTAAAATTATGAAATTAATACTTTCTTGGCTAGGATTTTCCTTCAGTAGTGAAAATCTAACTTTTCACTTTAAATAAGCTATTCAGAAATGAAGCAGGGCTGTATGATTTCTTCATGCCAATGTTTGTGGCAGTGCTACAGGCATAACCCAGCTACTTTGATAAGCACTCATCCACAATATTTTTCCCCAAATATCAAAATATTGATACAGCCTCAATCTGATGCAGGCAAGTGTAGTTTTTCAAGATGAAAAGGCAAAAGATGTATCCCTGAGAAGTATCCTGCAAGTTAGAGAGCACTGGACATCACCACCACCAAGCAGATATTGTAAAAGTAGGTATGTAAAAAGGAGCTGCTGTTCCACCTCAAAGCGCGCCCTATGTTTCTGTAAAAAACACCACCACCAAAAAGGTAACATCTTCAGAGCAGAAATGGGAAAAAAAAAAAAAAGTATGATTTTGAGTTTTCCTCCCTGTCAGCTTTGCTGCAGTGAAAAACTTCTACATAGCTTGGCTTACAGTTCTCCTGGCTAAAAGCCACAGCTTAATTTAGAAAATAACCAACAGGACCAACAGGCATCTTTGTCTCCTTCTATAGGATTTAAACAGCAAATACTCCATTAGAATGAGTTCATATCATATCTATTCAGTCCTTACAAGCCTTGGTTTAAAAGCCAAATCCATTTGTTTCTCTAAAACTCCTTTGTGTTGCCTCTCACTATGACGAAACACACTGTACATCATTAGCACTGAGTGATAAGAAAAGCAGTTTCAGACCCCTTATCAAAATACTTATTGGATGAAGGGTGTTCCTGTTGAAGACAGACGTTCCTTTTCAAGTCCATCTAAACTTTACATATCATAGGTGTTGCTTTGCATTTCCCTTCTATAAATCATCTATTAAAGAATTTCAATACCTGATGAATCAATGTTTCCAACAGCCCAGGGGATGGAAGCTGGGTACCACATGGGTCGAATGGATTAAACCATGTTATGCAGCTCTCACACCCACAGCATAATACAAATAAGGATCCAACAACACATCCCTGCAGCCTGCACAAGAGACACGGATCTCCTTTTCACAGAGTGAGCTGGGCTGTTGGCTCACACATTGGTTAGGGCCAGGCCAGCTGAGGACAGTACTAGGGATCTGCAGCAAGAAAAACGTGAGCATGTGTCTGAAGGAGCACTGGTTGTCCTTTCTTTTGCTCCCCTATATGCTGTAAAGCAGCTGATACAAAGACAAAATTCCAGCCTCAGTCTGGGCTTACCTGTCCTTGTTTAGCTAGTATATGTTGCTAGTATAAGTCATAGAAACATAGAATGGTTTGGGTTGGAAAGGGCCTCTAAGATCATTAAGTTCCAACTGCTTGCCATAGGCAGGGATGCATCACACTAGACCCTGTCACCCAAGGCTCTGTCCAACCTGGCCTTGAAACTGCCAGGGATGGAGCATTCACAGCTTCCCTGGGCAACCCATTCCAGTGCCTCACCACCCTCACAGTAAAGAACTTCCTTATAGTTAACCTGAACTTCCCCTGTTTAATTCCTAGCACTTTTTACCCTTGTGTCCAGTAGCCAGCAGCTCATAATGCCCATCACTGATTTACGCCACTTTTTTACAACTGAATTACCGTTTCTAGTCTCTGATAGAGGGTCCTAGATGTTCTTAGGCTCTCACTTCAGCAACGTTTGATCCAGGATTATCCACACAATTTAAACTTTGGGAGATTGGAAGTGCTTTTCAGAACAGAAAAGTCCATCAGTTTGCTCAACAGCTCTAAACAGTGACTTGCACAGACATGTAGTTTTTAATCTTTTGTTAACAAGTAATACCACATGCTCCTCAAATGACTGAGAAGTAGTTATTTGATTTAGGACTCTCTCAAATTATAAGCAGCCCACAGTTAATTTAAATAGTGTATGTTGCATCTTTTTCTCAAAGATTAATGTTACTCTTGCCACTGGGCTATGTAAAAAGGAAACATTTGTGCAACAGCAATTTTTAACACTTTCCCCAGATTGATTTATGAGCTTGTTTTCAACTTTCTGGGCACCCATAAATGATGTCTTTAGGCTTCTGAGGGAATACTGATGTCCAGTAATTTATGACTGGATAAAAGCAAGTGTGTCGAGGGAAGATTATTTGTCTCTTGACCACAACAGAGTGGGCAAGATTGAATGAATGAGTTTGCAGAAACTAAGCTCAGCCTAAAGATTTGAAGTCAATACAGAAAACAAATAAAATAAAACCCCACAAAACAACAAAAACCCCACACAACCAAACATCAAACAAACAAAAAAAAACCCCAAAAGCTGCAAAATCAAAATCCTCCTCCTTCCCCCAAAACCCAAAAAGAAACCAAAAAGCCAGACAGCGGGTAAAAAAATAAAGATTAAATCTGCCTGTGTGCTACAGGCCCATAGGAGAAATCATGCCCATAGGAAGCAGGAGTTACTGAAATAAAGTATTGATTTTCTGCTGAAAGAACTGTAAGTATAAAAGGACAATTAATTTTTAAATGAAGGTAACGGTCATATTATTGCTCTCTGGATATAGAAAGAAACTCATCTGTCTATATCTATCTGCAGCATTCGACTCTGTGTTCAGAGGCAGTGAAATTTAATCAAAACTGGATGGTTAAGAACATTAGAGTATGATTAGGTGTCCGGACTACTCTTTTATAGGTCTGAACTTCAAAGTGAAGGTGAGTACTTTTGACACACACAGCACATACCTGAAGCATCACTTCACATTCCTTCTCTGCCATTGACCTCTACTCCCTTGCGTGACCAACACCCGGTGCTGCTGGGGTTTGGGGTCATTTTTGGCTTGTTCTTCTCTCCAGCCTTCACACCCTACATCTTAAAACTCCTTTCATACCAGCATCAGAGAGTAACCAGTTCTTCAGGCACCCTGAAAGCAACTAGGCAGATTCTTACCATCCCACACCATGAATTACTACAAGCTCCTCTCCTCTGGCTTTGATAATTGTCTTTCCCCAGTGCCTGTCACTTGGTCAGCACCCAAATCCCCTTCAAAGATGGGAGAGGAGTCCTGCAGAGGCCGTCTGCAAAGTAAAACTCACTGTTCTGCTGGTAACTCAAGGTGCTGGGTGCCTGGCATGGGGTCTCCAGACATTACCTGCCTCACCATGTGCTCTCCAGGCCAGATATTGTCTTGTCTTCACACTTAGACTCTAAGTTAAGTTCCCTAGAACAGTTGTGGTCATTTTGGTCTATTGCTCATAAAGACCTCATCATGGTGGATATGGTCCATGGCAATGTCCTAATGACTGCATAGCAATGAATAAAAGGAAGGTTCTGAGCAACTGTTCTATGAACTGATGGGTGGTGCTGCTCAGCAGGAGTTCTGGACTCTGGGCCACAAGGAATTTAAGCGTTAACAAAATCAAGTGGGGAAATGGGTTTGTCATCCAGCAAGTTTTAAGAGTTTGCCTGGGTGAGTTTGTTTTGCATGCATGTAAAAAAGAATCTTAAATCAGACTGAAAATATCCAAATAATTAAATGTTTAATAATTAAATGTTAAGGGTGGTGAGGCACTGGAATGGTTTGCCCGAGGAAGTTGTGAATGCTCCATCCCTGGCAGTGTTCAAGGCCAGGTTGGACAGAGCCTGGGGTGCCATGGTTTAGTGTGAGGTGTCCCTGCCCATGGCAGGGAGGTTGGAACTGGATGATCTTAAGGTCCTTTTGAACCCTAACTATTCTATGATTCTATGTTTCTAAGTTCCAGTATATCAGTTCAGATCAATAGCTTTCAATTCTGACCTCTTTCCTCTGACAGGTTAAAAAAATCCAAAAGGTAACTACTTATGCAGACTCCTAAGCAGCATCAATTCAGACCTGGTTGCTATTTCACTATAAATTAAAAATGGGGGTTTTGCTTGTTTAAGAAGAAATAAAGGTATGATAACTTTGACTTCAAGCATCACTCTTTGTATCATAAATGTTCTTGTGGGGAATGTCTGACAAATCCATCTTGTGTATGACTGCAACCGATTGCCTCAGGCTGCCACTGGAGCAATTCCAACTGCTTAATGAATCCGTAACGCCCACATCCTGCATGATGAGCAATTGTGACTTTTCTGTTTCCAGAACACACCGGTGAGGAGAACTGCTTCCAGGTCTGGGTGGACGTGAACCTGAGTGGAGCCTGGACGCCGTTAAAGCCACACTAACTAACCAAACTTCTAAATTATGACTACAGTAAGGATTTTAACTCCACAATGCTGCTATGCTGGGATGTGACAGGCTTCCTACCCAGGTCTGGAAGGTAGGGATCTGCTTGCATATATCAAATCTCATAGTTTCCCTTCCCTCCCCCTCCCTGCATAGATGTTGTTTGGGAAAAGCAGTACAGAAGAAAATGTTTTGAAATATGTCCTATGGGTTGGGATGAGTGGAAACATAACTAACCAGCATAGAAACTGGTATGGTTTAGACCAGCTCTCTGCAATATATGTGGCACATTATTACCTTATATTTAAAGTGACAGTGCCAAGATTTCCAGGTCTGGAAATAAACCCCATGTCTTTTACAGTATTTTGGATAGGTAAGAATGATTGCAAAATACAGCTACACCAATGAGCACAAGCATTACATAGAGTCGGTGACAGAGCGGGTATACTAAAGAGGATGCCAGCATCTCTCTGTCTGCTTGTGCACATAAGATCACAAAAAAAGAGAATATACTCTCTCTTCTTTGGCAATCCCTCATGAAAAGAGGTCTGGGAAAGTCAAAACAAAGAGCAAAGCAAAGACCAAATGCTCAGGAGAGATTATTCATTGAGGTACCAGAGTTCTTTATCTCAAGGCCACGGTCTCCGACTGTTCTTGCACATGACTGCCAGGCTGCAGGGTTTCCTGACTGCTAGAATGGCCAGAGAAGAACAACTTAGGGGGACCAGCGCATCAGAACTAGGTGATGCTGACCCCCCTGAAGAGATACAGCTGCTTCCTGGTCCTGACCCTCTGTGATCCACAAAGGAGCAAAGGCATGGAGTCACTTTTGGTACTGAATTACACTGCCCACCACTAGCCAGCATGGCTTCACCCCTTGGATGGTGAGTGTGCCTGCAGCACCTGCCTGCAGTCACAGGAGTTAAAGGGGGAGAGACTGTATTGAAACACCCAAGATTTACAGAAGATTTACTCAGAACTGCTAAACTCACTAATAGCTTGAACCAGGGATTACCCTTCTGCATCTGTTGGCTTTGTTTAAACCACATGGTGCTTTCAACAAATCTGAAGAAATTGAAAGAAAAATACAATTATACAGTTTGGTAGTGACAAGCTAGGGGGAAAAAAAAAAAAAGTAATTTTCTGCAATTCAGCTATTCAGAGAAAAGTTGATCATTCAAGTGTGAAACTTTATAATTGTTCCTGCTAACCTTTTTCCCTCCTACATACATATGCTGTCGACATCAGCTGTGCTAGTAAATAAGAGCAAAGCATCCAGCCAACCAGTCTGTAGCCAGGGTGAGAGTTATTTGCAATAGCACTGATGGATTTCACAAGCTACACTATTATCTGCAAATCCATTCTGCTAACATACACAGCACATCCCCTCAGTGGCTGAGACAAATGATAGGATGTGCAGGCAGAGCCTCCTCCAGTACAGACCAACTCTGCTTCAAACTGTAAAACACTTGGACACCCCGTTCCAAGCCTGACTGTACCACTGAGCACCAAGAAAGTGAAACAGGAGGTTGAGACTGGCCAAGGACATGGCAAATAAGCAGAGCAAGTTGTCCAGCTGTTTCAGAGATGGAAGACCACAAGTACCCTACAGATGGTGAGGAGCAGCATGCAGCTGCTCTACTCTCCCTCACTCACGTATGGAGGCACATCATTGCCATGCAGAAGCCCCAGCTGTCTGTGCTGGGAGATGCAAGACATATTGGATATTCACATGGGAACAAGCTTGTTTCCTTCCCTATGCACTGGGGTATCTGCAGGCAGATCCCTATCTGCAGTGCTGCCAATGGGTTTTTAGGAAATAATACTCAAACAGCATGTTCACAATAAAACCAGAGAGCTAGAGTTTCTCAAGAGGAACCAGTCCTGGTGAATACATGCAAATAACTCCTTTCACATTTGAGGACCACCTCTTGCTGTTCCCCAGATGCCTGATCTAGAACAGTGATGCATTCCAGCAATAAATTAATTTGGGGACAACTGCCTCAGACACAACCCCATTCCAGCACCTAGATCTGGTCAGTGCCAGTAACTGTCTGTACACTGCCAAGCCCAATGAAACTGGATAACTGCAGTAACAAACTGTGCAGAACACCACCAAATGCGTTCTGACCCTAATCCACTGTGCTGCTCAGGTGAGCACGAGCATTATGTTGGTGCGGCTCTGAGAGGCTGGACCTCAAGAGGAGGTTCCCCCTCCGACAGTGCTGGTGCACAAACAGATTCAAATGAGCAGCCAAGCCATGAGCAAGGAGAGAACGTGGAAAGCCGGACCCAAGTGACAGGTTCTGTATCAGTAATGACTTAATGCAGAATAGCAGGCAGCATAGAAATGTTACAGTTTACTGGGAGAGTAGGAAAAGGGAAGATGTGATTTGTGCCACCTCATGCATGCAGCTTTTTGGAAAAACTTATTTATATTCCCACTGAAAATGCTAACTTTTTAGTAAAACAGATCAACTTAAACATGAAATCATTAGATTCAAGCTGTGACTGCAATTTCCTGTGCAAGCTACAGCTCAGATGACAAGCTTTTGCTCTGCTCTTTAGGTAAAGCTTTCTGCCTGGCATATCCTTGCCATAACATGCTTTTCCCTTCGTGTAGCAGAGGGGGCTGCATGACACCTCGGGTGTTTTACAGGAAACATCCTGGGGGCAGAGGCAAACAGAAGGATACAGCACTTGACCCACAGCTCCTGTGAGATTGTGATGACATTTAGAAGAGAAATAACTCCAAGGGATGGATCTTTACTTGAAACCTCTGAGCATTTTCTCAGCAAATGATTCATGTTTTACAGGGAATTACCTCGGATTGAGAATGGAGGTGTTCTTCAAAAATCAGTGCTGATGGAAATTACCAGGGAGTTCTGATATTCTTCAGGAGGTAGTTTCATGGGGAGTAACAAGGTACAATAGGCAGAACGTCAGGAGGGAAAAAAATCAGATCCACACTCATTGGACCTATACAAGAGTTACTTCAGGAAGGACTTGGCTACAGTAGGAGTTTTGATAACTTTTTTCCCTTTGCTCCACAAAAAGAAAGAGCATCCACACTTAATCCTCAGCCTTGCTGGCAACCCTGACTTCAGTCTTCAAATTAGAAACTGTAAGATCTGTTGGCTGGTGAAATAGAGTAGTAATAGCATCTTCTGGGAATAACAGACCTCTGATCAGGTCAGGTGAGCATTACAAGCATTACGCCACACTGATTTCTATAGAAGCCCATGCCTGCTGGTCCAGCCTATGGATGTGACTGGTAAATACATGCAATATCTCCTTGGTTTCATTCACTTTGTGTCACCAGCTTCTCTTTCATCTCCCCACTGCAGGACCGGCTGTCACGGTAATTTCTGTGCTTTCAGGGAATTAAAAAAACCTGCTGTCCTTGTGCTTAAAATAAACCAGAGCCCAGCTGATTGATACCTGCCCCGCGGCATCTAGGAGGTACTGAGATTGGAGAACAACCTGGAAAACAGCACATTACGAGGCAGAGAAGGAATTGTGAGCTTTTAATGATACAGTTGACAGGACACAAGAGTTCAAGAGTCACTGGGACACCCACTCACAGCTGGCCCAGCATGATGCTGCAAGAGCATGATGATCCAACCAGATGTGAACCACTACTGCAATAGTCCTGCCAGCAGCATCAGCTCACTGGAAATGTAACGAAGAAAACTTGTCTATCTGGATAAAACCAGTACTTGGGATTTCCTCACTGCATTAATGGAGTTACAGACAGCAACTGGACCATTTGACACCCAAGTTTCACCCAGTTCTCCCTATGGTTCAATATTTTTTCTTTCCCATCTCTCTTCTCCAAATGAAGGAGGGATCAGTTCTGAGATTGATTACTGCATTTGATGTGACATTTTTTTTGTTTGTTTCAAAGAGGCATTCCATAGCCCTGCTCTTTTACAGTAACAACCCTCAGCACTTGTTCCTCCCACCTTGACCAAGGATGTCAGGAAAAATTTCTCCCATCCTTGTGCAGTGACACAATTTCACGAGTCAGGTTAGTTCTGCTCCTTCAACATCATCATACAAAGCAGTTTGTGTTAGCAGCTAATGAACTTGCCAGAGGCAAACTTGTAAGAGGCAGAAAGGAGTCAATCTCTGCTGGAGCCATTTTGGTTACGGATTCAGATAATGAGGTCAGAAGAGACCTTCAGCTATGCAGACATCTGCATCAAATAAGATAATCACCTGTATCTCAATGGGCATTAAAACATACACTTAAAGATACTGCTCCTAAAAGCATTCTATTGCCTGAAGAACCTGTGAGTACCAAAGATTAAATGTGATGGAAAATAAGTTCGCATAATTTTCACTTTGCTTTGTGCCAGTGAGAGACAGGGAATGTTTGGACAGAGAGGAAAATTGGGATAGAAACAGTCTGCTCTGCCATTTGTCTGCTCTTTCACACTAGCAGAGAAGGGAAAATAGTTTTATGATTAGGAAATGCTCCACATTCAGGAGCAGCCATCACTTCTGTCCGGCACTGTGTTTGTTTTGCAGGTGGTCGATGATGTTAGGAGTAAATACAAACCCAGATGAAGAGTGGCATAAGAAATGGACGGACCAACCCCAGAGCCTGTGTACGTTGATGTGGACAAGGGACTGACATTGGCATGTTTCGTCTTCCTCTGCCTCTTCTTGATTGTGATGATTATTCGCTGTGCAAAAGTCATCATGGACCCTTACAGTGCCATCCCTACATCTACATGGGAGGAGCAGCATCTAGATGACTGAAAGGACTTCACTACACAGAGCCATGAAATGCTGCGATTCAGGAGGCCTTTTCCCACTGGGAAGGCTAACACACAAACAGCCGTATTCAGATATGCAGGGCAACAGCAATATCTCTAAGAGCACATAGTGTAAATGATTCTTGCTCATCGGATCAGGATATCAGCAAGCCATTCTGGCAGCACAGTTTAATACTATGCAGCAATCCTTATTTTACTGAAAACAGTTATCATTGTAACTCAAGCAGCACAAGACACTTCAGACTTTTCCTAATACATCTCTTAGTCTAGCACAGTTTGTCCTCCCCTCAGTATCTCCCACAAATCCAGGACAACCATCAGAATTTGGAAAAGCAACAAGAACATTGTGTCTTCCCTGAAAATAGATTGCTTCAAGAATCTTCCTCAATCATTATATTTGTGTTTCAAAAAAGGTCCAAATTTTATAATTTTGTATCCCAGAGCATCACTAAGTTAGAAGCACTAAAGCATGTCTGGTTAAGGAGGGTTATACAGGCAAATTTATTCTCAATTCACTTGGTTTTGCACGTACACTCCTTACCCCACTGCTGCTGTATTTCCAGTGATCAGGATACAGAAGCACTTGGACGACAGATCCCAAGGGGGTCATGGTCTACTGCTGACCCTGTAGCATCACCTCACTCTCCTACTCATGCAAAAACTAAGCATATCATCTGCCATGGGTCCATGGATTACCCAGACGTCTCAGACCACTTACTATGAGCTTGGTAGCCACCAGAGGTCCATGGAGTAGAGCTTGGACACTGCTGGTTTCAACTATATAGAAACTGCTATGATTTCCAAAGAGAGATTCCACATGCTACTCCATCCATCTTTTGTTGGAGGTGCACTTCAGTGGATGAGACATGAATAGAATGACAAAGACAATAAACAGAGGGACATTGCTCCTAGCTTTGTCACTCAGACTCCTCAGCATAGCAGTTATAGTAATATAAGATAATATGCATTCTACCTCAGAGAAATTCAGCACCTTCAAAAGAAGAATTTTCCCACAAGCCTGTAAGGTGAATAGCTGTACATTTCCTCCTCTCTATTCATTGAGACATCCATTATGCAAGAAGACGTAAGTGAACATGGGAGCTTGGAAAAATTAGTATTTACCTTACAAAGAGTGGGAATTGAGGAACTGAGGAATTCTTGTGTCCTCTATTCCCCAAATTCTAAGGTTTGCTCACAGCTGCCTTCATTAGTGGCTACATGTTTGGCTTACAGTTCTGTAAGGAGTTGCTGAAGCAACACAGAGTAGGTACTTCAACCACAACAGCGTCATGAGCAGACAAGACTTGAAAGCACAAATCTGCAAGAAGGGCATTTCACTGTTTCTCCTCCTCCTTACCATCCTACTTGACCTCTAGGTTCTTGCCATATGACGATGAACAGTGGATGAGAAAGGTGGAAAAAACCAGGTTGTGGCAATGAATCAGGATGTAGACTTCACAGGTTTCTGTTCTCAGCTCTGACATATGTTTGACAATTACAAAAGTCACTTATTCATGTATCTCAGTCTACTGATAGGCAAAATGGGTACGACACTAGCTTGTCTCACCTTGTTTTGTCTGTCTCATGATGCCAGGAAGCACTTGGAGATCCTTAGATAGGGACACAGAAATAAGGTATTGATTTACAACTCCTCCTGGTGAAACTAATGGGGAAGTTCTGATTTTTGTATACAGCAAGGGAAATTAACCCCGAGGAGAGGACCTGTCCACACCTCCATTTACTCTCTCATTAAGATTGCAGTATTTGAGTCAAGCTACACAGCAGCTGGTTTAGTTACTTATTCCACAGATTTCAGAGGACAGTCTGCATTTAAGGTGCTCAGCACTGTGATTACAGAGATCCCAAAACAACAGGCTATAAGGCATGGGAAGGTTTTTGTATGGATCTTTTGCACTGCACAATTTTTCTAATCTCTGTTGTAGGAGATCCCATTCAGGAGGCAGCAGCTTTGATCCTGGCTTTAATCCTGCTATTCTCTAGCAAGAGACCTCTGCTGCCTCCATTACCCACTACAGATTGCTCATCAGGTAGTTATTTAGCCTCAGTGTCTGCTAGCCAGTTAATCACCAGTAACTGAGGATTTTTTTCAGGCATCAATGTTCAGCATACTTTGAGCAAACACATTAGTCTCTCTTAGTCATGAGTGTGTCTATCTGTACTGTAAGAATGGATGCCCTAGCTTAAAGAAGACTGCTTCTGTTCCCTGGGCTAAAGTTTAGAACCCAGTTGTTGTCCTTAAGCCTCGTATCCCACCAGGGTACTGTGGGGCTACTTATAGAATAAACAAAACAAATGTATTTCTAGGCTAGAGACACTTTCAGTTTGCAGGTCATCTGCCAGCATTCACAGCCGATGCAGAACAAGAACAGAGCTTGTTATCACACCTCCCTAAGGCTGTCCTCCACCCAGTGTTTATCTGCATGCAGAACTCCTTGGCTTTGCCTGACATCACTGATAAGCCCCTGTTCAGCCAAGGAACAAGTTTAAGTCCCTGAGGAGGCTGTTTGACCACCCAGGAACCAGGGTCAATCACATGCAGTGCCCTTGGCAGGGCAGGGGCAGCAATGCACAGTCCTGGTGGAGCAAAGCCTGTGTGAGAACAAAGGGTTACAGATGCTGGGGAAGCAAATTAACAGGTTTGCCACTTCCTTATTCCCTGTCCAGCTGTACAAACCATCTTATGGATTCTTCTGAAAATCCTAACCAGAAGACCCCTATGGGTAACTGTTTTCTAATAAAAAGGCACTTGTCTTCCTGGCACAACCCATCAAGTCCATCCTTCTGTGAACAAAATGTTCTCCATAAACATCTATTGATTCATGTCCAATCTTTTCACATGACTGTGTAAATATCAATGCAATTGTTTTTATACAGGTAATGTAAATGCATTCTAATATCTGCCTTCCTCCAAGGGTTACGATCACACAACCTCACCACTCTTCAACCAAAAGCAATACTAATCATCATGCTGAAAGCAGAAATTCTATCCTCCTTGAGTTTGGAGCTGAGACTTGCCCACCTGAGGTGCATCATAGCAGCTTCCACCTGATGCCAACCCCACAAGCCCATCCAGCAAAGCTGCACCCACAGCCAGTGGAAGGCCTGTTTTAGCAGGGGCTGCATCACCAGGCTTGGTAGTAATTTCAGCTGCATGCAACAAGTGCCTCTGCTGGTTTTGGTTCTTTTTTAATCATTGCCATACTACCAGCAATTGCACTCAGAGAAAATAATTCAAACTTGTTGCAAATGTATTTATCTAAGACAATAAACAGCTTTGAATGGAAAACCATCTTCTTGTCTCTCTTGTAAAATACACCCACAACACAACAGTATGATTTTTCAATGAAGATATACATTACTGACAGCCCTCCTTGGAGGGTGAGAGCAGACAACTTCTCCCTGTGTAGCAACAACACCACTACAGGCTGTCAGGAGCTCAGAACAGAGCTTCAGGTACATCAGCCCCTCCACAGTGGTTGTTTTAGGCTACTCCCTTGGTCAGGAAGAGCACTGAGCTGAGGTTCAGTTCAGTGGGGAACTGTAGCATGCTGTGTTTCAGCAATTCATTATCAGTACAAATTGCATACCAAAAGAAACAGGGCCACTGAGACTGAAATCCCTCCTGCTAGCAACTGAAAATGAAGAGCGAGGAGCATCTGTGGGGTCCCTTTGAAGAAGCCACAGAATATGGTATATGCTTGAGTAAAAAGCACCCAGGGTACTCCTCCTCTTGAAAAAGGTGAAGAGATAAATAGCTAATTCTTTCATCTTGTAAAAGGGTTCTGTTGCCTGAAAGCTGGGGGCTTCATATATATGCTTGTCCCTGCAGCGAGTGCTCTGGCAGAAGGACCTTTGTGCCTGAAACCCAGTTTGCCACAAAGACAAAACCCCACTGATAAATTGTTAACTCTGTCCTAGTCAGAAGCAGAGGCTGGATTCTTCATGCTGTTTTCAGAGCAGCTGCTATGGCTGATGTAAGAGTACACCTGAACTGAAGCCAGCAGTGGCTGAATTTGGGCAGACACCCTGGAGAACTGCAAACAGAAAGGTTACTTCTGAAAGAAACAGGTACTGATGCTAGCCAGGGAACTGCACCAGTGATGCTACTGCACCCTGTGCTGTCCAAAGGTGTCTCCAGCTTGCTGGGTCATTACAAGTCTCAGTGGGTAACTCCAATTCACGTTACTAGAGCTCAGAAATCAAGTCAACACAGGACTGGATAAGCAAAATGCTGTTCTCAGACTCCAGCAGTTTCCACACAGGGAGGCACACATAGGGAGGGTGGTGAGGACAGCAGACCTCAGATACTTGACTGATTCACTTTAGAAGCCAGTGCTCCAGGAAACAGTGTGACTGTATGAGAAATGAAGGCAGGAAATTCCAAGGCAGCCCCAATTTAAACTTTCATAGAGCAATGATGCTAATCCTCCGTGCTACCTGAATCTTGCATACAGTCCCCTCCTAACAGTGATAACTGAGCCTACAGAGCTTTGAGCTTCTCCACCCAGAGAGACCCAAGGACAGCAGTGACACCATGATCTGCATGTGGACTGTACATTACTGCTGGGGCAAGGAGTCATCCCAAAGGAGCAGCCATCCCTGTAGTTTTGCATCTTTGAGGTCAACATGTCAATTCATGGAGTGACACCCATGCACCAGCTCCCCTGCTTTCCACCCAACCCAGCTCAGTGCTGGCCCATGGCAGTGCTGTGTCTGCACCAGCCATCATCAGCACAGCAACACCATTGCAATGGCTTCAGCTGAGCAGCCATGGTGTGAAAAACCTGCTAAATGCAGGATGGGAAACACAAATTCGTCTTCTCCCCTTCCTTACCCTCTGTCTCTGACCTTGTCAGCCCGGACCTGCCAGGCTTCAAACCAATTCTCTTAGCTGTCCTACAGTCTTACATCTCGGGTGATTTGAATTAAATAAAGGATATTAAAATCCCCAACTTTAACCGTGTCTTAATACTGCAATGGGAATTCTTGATTTCAGTCAAGAATTTTGCATTTGCACTTTCTTATTTTTGTAAAATATTTGTTTTCATTAAAAATGATTGATACCCTTTGGCTACCACCCCTTCCTGCAAACCAGGAGGAAAACACTGCTCACACATACATTTCTAAAGCAATGCAGTCTCAGATTTCTGGTTGCATTTATTCTCAGGGTTCAGTTCAATCCACAATGGGGTTAGGAAACGTTGAATGGTACACTTCTTAGTTAGAGAGCTCCATGCTTTGTACCGGGACTTGTCCAGGCAGCTCCCAGAGGGGAAATCAGAAATCAATTAAAAATGTTCTAAGATTGCATGAAGTGTCCCGAAGCCATAAGGGAAGTGAAGTTCTGAAACACATTTATATTCGAGACTAAGTGGCTTTCTCAAAAAGCTGATGTATTGCCTCTGCAGAACACATGAAGTGCCCAATAGGAGCAAGCGGGCAGCAGAGCAGGCCACCCCACTGGCCCCAGAGGCACCCCTAGAACAGGGTCCTGGGACACAGCAGCCCCAAGGCACCCATTGTTCTGCAAGGCAGTGGATCTGCTTCCAGCAGCCCTGAAACACATCTGCCCTGGATCCAGCACACAGCAAGGAGGGAGACAAGGAACCTTCCCCGTGCCTGCAAGTCCCAAGCGGTCGCTTAATATTCACTGACAAAGGTGTGGATACTACAAGCTGAGCCAAAGGGTACTTAGATGTTGCCAGGGACTCCTTTCCTACAGCACTGCCCTTATACATTAACTGTGTCTACTCCCAGCTCTGGAAAAGCTGCCAATTAGATAACATTGAGCAAATAGAGTAAAAAATAGGAGGCAGAGGTCTGTAATTTAAAATTTCATGGAAAACCAAACATACATGCAACAGAGAAAGCACTGAGGTGAACATGTGCTTGGGAATGAGGGGCCACAGCAGATCTGTATGGGACAGCATGGTGTCAGTACCTCAGCACGCCCTTCACATACTTGCAAAGCCTTCAATCAGTTTTAAAATCCCAGAAATGGCCTCCTTTCTCACTAAAGCAGCACCTGTGTGGGCATCCTGAACAGAACCAGCAATCAAGCCTGAGGAATGGCCTCCTGCCTTACTGTTTAAAGGCAAAACCAATGTGAATATCCCCTAAGAGCTCTGTCCCTCTTAAACTCCCTACCTCAATTCCCAATAGCTACTGAAAGAGCATTTTACTTTCAGTTATTACTGCCTGGTTAATGAAGGAATTCTGAATATTGCTGACCCAAATGTTTTCATCAAAACTGATTCTTTTTCCTTGATACCGCATCCTTTTTCTAATTAGAATCTCTACAGAGAACTATTTTTGGTGAAGAATACCAGCATTTCAGACAGAAAATCCATTGTTTCCTCTAAACTCTGAAATGTGCTTTAGGGCGTTTCTTCCATGCTTTCTTTTGACACTTAATTATACGCTATTACAGATTATACCCAGGTTTTTCATTACACACCAACCAGATAATGCTTTGGTCTATAAGAAAACACGTCTCAAACAGTATCAGAGGCTGCCCTTAGTTTTCTTACCAGCAAAATAACAAACCCAGGTGAAGCACCAGGCAGCATGATCCAGTGCATTTACACCCACCCTGTGACAAGTCAGTACAACACAGGAGCACCTCCTCCATCCCTCCCAGACCTTGCATCCAGTGCTACTCACAGCCAGGATTGCTGCACTCCAACACAGGTCACTGATGACTTCTGTTGAGCATGAAACAAGAAGGGTTCTCCAGACAATCAGAAGAGCTGTGGTTTCCATCTTGATGCACATTTACAATTCCCCTGGTCAGGAAAGCAGGATCTTTCTTCCCACCCAATGCTTCATGCCTCTGAATGAGTCCTCCCAGGGAGCTGACACAGCAGAAAGGTGTTATTTTTCCTGCAAGCAGGAAGAATTCCAAGGAGAAATTTCTTCTCCTACACCCACATCACAAACCCAGGTGTAGAGGAAAAGGAGCTCCAGGTTTGATTTTACTATTTTCTTTCTCATTTCTACTGGAAACCAGGCTATGAGCAAACTGAGGAAAACAGATCTAAATCAAATTGAACTTAATAACCTCTAGAAGCAGAGAGAGCCATGCTCAAATCTAACTGCAACAAAAGCTTCCAGAAGTAGAGGGGAATTTCTTGTAGAGAGGGTCAACCCAATTGAAATGGCACCTCAAAAGTAAACTTCCCTAAACACCAGGTCTACATGCGGAGCTGAGGGACCCCAAACTGAAGCATCCTCCTGATCCAAGAGCCTCACTTTTACATCCCTACTCAGCTCTACCCTTCCCCTGCAGACACCTTCCCCAAAACCAGTAGAGAGCTCCATAACCTTCAATTCAAAGGCCAAAGGTGCAAAGTGGAGGCAGCTGCCCCAGATGAGGTGGAATGAGCACCTGAGTGCTTCCCCAGTTCTGTGCTGGAGGCTGCAGTGCTGCCAGCCCTAGGCAAGAGCAATGCTATTTGAAGGGCAGTGCTGCACGTCGCAGCATAGATAGAGCCTTCGTGTGCTCCTTGACACAGGGATAAGAATCAGTAGTGCTGGTGGCTCCAGCCTTGCTGTTTTGGGCAAGGGCAGCCCAGTTATGAGTTCTTCTCCCCATTGCCCACATGAAGCCTACAACCTTCCTCTGGGGGTGAAAATAAAGTGGCCTTGGGCATAAAAAAAAAACCATTTACCTCTTTTTTTAGCCTCTCCTGGCTTTCTGGCCCTCATCCATGCAGCAGATATCTCTGAGCTCTGTCCTGAACAAGGTTTTGGCCTTTCTCCAGCTCACCTCAGAAACCTGCTCTCAGGGATGTATCTGAGCTCCTTTCCAGAAAACCTCCACTTTCTCAGAACCTGAGATTTCTCCAGATGCTCCCAGGCTAGAGGAGCTCAGGTCTGTCACCTCACCACCTCCCACCATCCCCAGCCTGGTGCCAGGATGCTTGGCCATGCACTGGGGGTTGTGGTCCCAGAATGAGAAGCATGGCCACTACAGATGCAGAGCCATCCTCCCTCAGGGCTGAGGCTGCTCTGGGTTAGGAGTGTATGGGTGCCTCCATCCTGCCAGGTTTGGTGTGCAGCAGGGCTCAGCACCACTGACCTTCCAGGGTGTCTGAGCAGGGAGCCTGATTTCTGCTTTTTGGCAGCAATGCAGCATCAGTTGGCTCTTTGGGAGAGGAACTCATTGCCTGTGTACAGGACTCACCTTTACCTTGCACAAAGCTAGGGAAGAGCCTTATGGATATAATAGTTTCTGTATGTATTCCTACACCCAGAAAGCACTGAAACCGCAGTCCTTCCTGGCTGCAAAATACCTTGCATCAAGGTCAAAACCCAGGACTAACGACACCCTGCTCTGACATCAGCCCCTGGCTCTCTATGGGTGCACCCTCAGGCACTGCATTTCCAGCACATCAGATAGAGTGAGGTACAACATGGATGGTGCTTCTGCAAAGAAATTTCTCCACTGGATAAATGCTTTCTGCGTCCTCCTGCTGCTGCCAGGAGTAAAGCCAGGCTGTGCTCAGAGCAACTGCAGGAGTTATTTCTAAATCCAAGAGGGAAGGTATCAACTTGTGGTCGTCCTTTGAGATAAAAGAGAGCACAAAGCATCCTATAAATTGACAGTAGAGTCAGAGTACATTAAGTAAATATCTGCCTATTTGCTCAGCTCCAAGTTTCCACAAGAGCCTGAAGGGGAAATAGCTTTTCCTTGATAAACAACCATGAGCCGCTGTTTTCCTGGCCAGGTCATCCCTCCTGGCGATAGTGGAATATCCTCGCTTTAAAATCTAAGTTGATTTAGGGCCGATCCTCCAAGTATCATTCTTTAAAGGGACTATTATTGCGCACTGGAAGAGAGCCCGTTTCAGCAAACATGCCCCATTAGCAGTGATTTATCTGCACTGCCACATTTTTTCATTAATCTTCATTTCAAATTCATTTTTCTCTCCTGCACAGCCAAGAAGTTCACATTCCCAACCAGCACCAGGTGCTCCCGGGGATTACATCAAACACCCCCATGGCCCACAGCAGCAAAACTACCCAACAAACCTTGGGAAGAGCAATAGGAAAGCAGCAGCTGCGCTCTTACCGCTGTCGCTGCATGGAGCCGGCAGCCTCGTCAGGCTCTTTACTTCGAGGACCAAGCAAATATTTAACAAGTTCCCCTTGCACTGTACCAGAGTTCATTATCCAGTCTCCCGAGCTCCTCCAGTCAGTAATATCCTCTAATTGATGTGATTTGGCACTTGGCCATAGTCAAATTGATTTGTAGACCAGCGGGAGATGGCAAATGCCCTTTACACTTGAGAAAAGTGGCATGTGGCTTTGTTTACCACCTGCTGCAAGGGGATGCCATGGCAAGAGGTACCTTTTAGGAGTGCAGGAAGCAGGTCTGCCTCCTTGGTGTCCTCTGACCACAGCCGCTGTCAGGTGACAAGTTGTGACTGCTTGGGTATCACTCCAGCCATGAGGTTCACCCTCCCTCCTTGATCCCAGGGATGCTGGTGCACAGGGTGAGAGAAATGGGGAATTCCCTTCTCTAAAACTAGGGTAAGATGCAGGAGGTATCTCCATGCCCTCTTCTGAGGGGTGCTCCAACACAGGCTCACCTCTCAGGGCTGGCATTGATCTTGGTTCTGGGGTATGGGGAGTTGCCTCTGCTTGAGCAAGGGCAGGAGTAAGGACAATGCACCTGCTCCCAGAGCAAGGGGAGGCTGCATCCTGCTGGGGTTTAGTTCCAGGAACCCATCAGTGCTGCAGTGCAAGGGCTGAACTCCAAAGCCTGCATAGGTTTTCATTCCAAGATGCAGGAGTTTAGGGCTGAGCCTTCTTGGTCATTGTTAGTCATTTATAAGTGGGTTGTTTGGTTTTTTGGTACCATCCAATTTCTGATTTCAGGGTTTTCAAAGGTTGTTGGTTTAGTCACTATTTTTTTTTGTTTGCTTTCATGCTTTCAGTTATATTATCATGTGTGCAAATTGCTTTGTTACAAATTAATGTAGGGCATAGTCATGTAACTCTCTTTTACTCAAGATGCTCTATCAGTTTTTAGCATTTGTATGCAACTTGGCTTCAAGATTTTACCTCCAGCATATTAATACTGCAACAAAAGGAAGTCAGCATGCAATCCCAGCTGTTATCATCAGCCCAGTACTCTGAATATTTAAGTTTACTTGAAAGCCTCCTTTTATAATTATGCAAAATACCATTAATATAGTAGAAGAATTAAGAATCTCACTTTTCAATCATTTTATTCCAACAATTTTAAGCTAGCATTGAAATCCTTTTCTTATCACACCAGAGAACCACATTTATCTTAAAGGTATTTATTGATAATTGAAAACAACAAGATTCTAATTACTTGTATAAAAATAATAAATCTGAATAAAGCTGCATGACTGTTAGAGATGGAGGGAGAGATCCTCCTCCTCAGATGTCACATTACTCCAGTCATCAAGGATCTGACAGGGCTGGAAGGATTTTTCCTGAGCACTGGCCAAATCCCACGCGGAAGCCGTTGCCCTGGCAGTAACCTAGGGCCAGAAAACAACAGACAGCTTGTTCTGTAAGGAGAGTAGGGTTTTACCAGGAATAAAAGTGAATAAAGGCATAGAGAGACCAAAACCAAGTGAAAACATTTCAGAAATGCAATGAGGGGCAAAAATAAGAGTTCAGGTAGCCCAGGATAAGAGAAGCACAAAATGTAAAACACGGCAACAGTGAGTTCAGTGAGTTGATCAGAGAGCAAACAAGATGTGCAACATTCCTGTTTTCAAACCTAACTTGCAGCATCATCAATCTAATTGGCAAGCTGATTCGCTGCCTGGTCCAACCATGCAATTAATCAAGTAAATCTGGATTCTCTTTCTGCAGCATTAGGACTGCTCCCGGGAGATCAAGATGCTTACGGCCAAAAAGATGATCATTAAACCCCTGCAAAGAGCAGGACCTGCCCTTACAGAACCTGTTTCACTTGCTAAAAACAAGTAGTTTAGTTCAATGAGAAGCTCAGCATCTCAAAATATTCATTTATCCTCTATTACATAAACAGGCACTGAAGATCTGCTGACTGCTGCTGAACTTACCAGACTGTGACATCTCTAACTACAGGATGATTCAATCTCTCCCTACTCCTGCGTGATAGGACGGATGACATTTGGATGGAGATGCTGCAGTGCCTCTTGTTGCCATGGGCCAGCTCAGCTGCTCCAGAAACAGCCTCCACTAATAAAGCCTCAGGTGAAGGAGAAGAGGGGACAAAGCCAGGGGTTTCTGGCCTATCTGGGAAGACTATTCTGGGAAGAAACTGCTGAGGAGATCTACTGTAGCCCTCCACCACCACATCAGATCAGAGGAAGGACACAAGTGGCATATGCTGCATTTTAAAGACTGCTTTTCACAGTTAAGAGACGGACTTTCCTGAAATGATGGAATACATCATCATCCCTGTATGTGATAAAAACCAGCTGCCTTTGAGAAGCCAAGAGGGAGCTGAACAGAACAGACCTTAACTCCAATTCCCACCCTTAGCATGGATCAGTGGAAACCTCTTCCAAGGAAGAGAAGGATGGGTGGCTCAGGCCACAGTGCAGCCAAAGTTATTGCAGCATGAAGACAGATCCTGCCAGCACTAACCAACCACGCAGCTCTCACAGCCAGGCTGAAATGAAGTGTTTCCAAGGACAGCAGTGTCTCTCAGTGTTTGAGTAACAGCCCAAAGACACCACATCAGTATCTGCTGGGTAATCCCCATTTGTAAGCAATATTGGAGCAAGACACTTGCTTTAAGGCTCAGCTCAATTTCCATTTGTTTCATTAGGCTTCGTTGCCAGCTTTCCTTTGAGCATCAGCTTTCCTTTGAGTGCCAGCTTATTATTTCAGCCCAGTTTAGTTATCCTTGCTGTCAGCTACGATTTAGAGCAGTACCAAGGAGAAGCACATTTAACAAAGCAAACCCTGTGCTGCCAGTGCCAAGGAGCTACAGGGAGATGTTTGCAGCCAGCTGCAGCAGATCGTCAGCAACCTTTCCCTCCCAGTGCTCCATTCCGAGATTCACTTCTTGGGAAAAATACATTTCTCTCATTTTACGTGTTAGGGCTCTCAAATAGCTTCCACAAGGGGAACGAGAACACAGAGTTGAAATAGGAGACTAGAAATTACGGGTTGGGCATTTGGCATGCGATAATGGTGCTGCCTCAGGAGGGGATGCAATAGCCCTGGCCCTGCCTCAAGGATGCTTTAAGACACTGGACCTGTCATACATCACCAAATAGGAGCAGATCCCAAACTGTCTC